TGTTCAGGATATACCACCCAAGCCCCAAACAACACAGCCCCCAACCATTTCCATTTCTACTTCCAAACCCCTAGCCATAGAAAACCAACAACCATCCACATCAAGGGGAACCCAGGATACAGAACTAGTATCCTCCCCTACAACGACCAGACCCAATCTCAAAACCATACCCTTCGAGGACCTTGTAGCTGAGGTCTTTGACCGTATACTAGACGTGGAAGAAGGCAACCTTACCCCTCTTCAAAAAGCCCTTCTCCATGCTCTAGATACACAGAACACATGCCGTGAAAGTCTCCGTGGCACTAAACGTTCACATGAGGATCCTGATGATTCGGATTCTCATGAGGGGGAGAACAAGCGCCAGCGGATACTTGAGCATGTTGCTTCTACTAGCCAACCCTCAAAACCAAACCAACCCTCCACCTCCACCAACGAGCAACCCACTACTTCAGCTAGCCATAAATCCCTAGCCACTCTTTCTAGCATGGTCGAGCTAGACATAACATCCCGAGGTGCATCTCCTATAGATGTTAACCGAGGACGGAATGGAAGTCCTGATGATGCTACCACGAGTACATCTTTCTACTCAGGCCATCAGCTAGAACCTAGTTCGAAACTGATGTCAACGGGCAATCCTGAAGATCCCGGAGTCACCCAGTCTCAGCCAAGGAAGGATTGGCCGCATGTAACGAAGTATAGAGGTCTGGTCTCTGCGCAAGAGCATCGTGTTGAGATAATTGAGGATCCCTGCAAGTTTCACCAGGATCCCGATGCTACGCTAGACATGTCACCACAGCAAGAGCAGGCTCCCTCCAGCTACTACAATGATCAAATGCACGATGAACTTGAGGAAATGCTTGTGCACAACAAATGGTTTGAACTCTGGACAGATGTAGATGAATCACAGCGAAGAGCATACCTCAGAGATCTCTTAGTCAACTGTGCTACTGATGTGATTCTACTTGATCAAGATGAACTCAAGGAGGGAGAGAACTACGAGACACCACCCAAGGAGCTTGAGTCAATCATTAGACAAACGGCAGCTCAAATGCCCAGAAATGAGAAGCCCTGGGAAAAGATCGACATCAACGCCCCCTTTCAAGAGGAAATCAGAGAAAACATCTGGCGAAAAGAGGATAAGGTCAGAGAACTAGACGAACTAAAAATCCGTGGTCTCAACCATCTACGAGGACAAAACAAGGGTGGACAGCTGTTTCTACTTAGTCATCACTATATGGGAAAACAGAGAGAAATCTGGCAACATGAACTTCAAACTGCCAAGGACCCAGTCTGGGCTATTCTCAACGTGGCCGAAACAAATCTTCAAGATATCAGACTCTCTGTCTACCATCTACAGCGCTCTGACGGAACAGAATTCACATGCAAGGAAAATGATCTCTACATGCTAAAAATGGATGACATCTATCAGATGTATCTTGCATTCCATGAAATTCCAGGCATTCGTGACAAAACTACACAAAATGGGCTGGATGCACTCAAGCGCTTTATGATCAGACAAATCAAATTCTTTGCCTCTCATGATCTTCAAATGGCTCTTGAAACAAACATTCCAAAGACAAACCTCACAAGACCAAAGCTGTATGGACCTGAACTTGAGGACTTTCCTGCCTACTACATTTTTGACAGTCCCATCACGCTCATCTATCTAAATCATAATGGTGAGAAGCGTTTGTTATTCATTGATGAGATAAACAAATACTGCGATGGAACACTGAAGATTGTGAAGGAGAAACTGCAACCTATCAGAGAAGCATTTAAAGAAAAGCAGCAGAAGTATGCAGATGCCACAGACGCTGAATTGAAAGAGGCACATAGAATTGACAACATTCTACAGGCTATCCAAAAACAACTTGAAAAAAAGAAATTCACTCAGAAGCTATGAGCATGCGCTTAATCTCAGGAAGAATTATTATAAAGCTCAACAGTGAAGAGAAGAAGAAGCAAGACGGCACTTGATCACAAAGGGGGAGATTGTTGAGGAAAATATTTGTTGTGATCAAGTTTGTCTAGAGTCTTGTTATCCCAATTAGATTAGACTTATCCTTTTTAGAATTTATGTAAAGAATAAGTGAGCTAAGGGAATAGGGCCCAAAAAGGCCTTAGGCCCAGAGCTCTAGGTTACCATTTCGGTACCTGTACCTACGCCTATAAATATGCGTACATGTGGTACAGGACCGAATAATCGAGAATCAGAAATATACAGCGCCTTTCATTCAGAACATTCATTCTATAGTTCTCGATAGTATAGCGTAAGGATTTCTTCTGTTCAGATTATCTCTCGATCATTATTAAGAACCTTCTCTATATTATTGTAGATAGTTCATAGCTGTTCATTCATCCTGAAATTTGGGACCAACACACCCCAATAAAAGTTCACTAATACCTTAGAAGTTCTTAACAAATATTAGAAGCTGATGAAATTGCCCCCAATAGAACAACAACAGGCAGGATACGAAAAGGGAAATTAAGGACTCCCAACTCCGCAAAAGATTGGCCGCTCCATCGTGCACATCCGTTCACTTTAGTTTTAATTGTTTTATCAAATTGAATGTCTTGTGTACTTGCTTGGTTGTTTAGTCCTCAGTAGGTTATTTGTGTGTGAGATTATGTAATTTGTGTTGTTTACTTTTAAGGCCATAGACACAATTTGAACTTTTATTTTTTTTATATAAACATAAATATTAAATCATGTTATTAAACTTATTATAATGTTATTAATTTATTATAGGATTATTGATTGGTCAATGGATTTTTTTCAAAAATTTTATAAAAAAATACTACCTCCGTCCCAAATTGATTTGAAAATTTGACTTTTCTTGGTCAAACAGTTTCAATTTATTTGCTTAATTAGGATCTCAATTTTTAATTATATTGTAATTTGGAGTTTGCAACTTTGAAGAAATTTTAATTTAGTTTCTGAACATGTAAAGTTTAATTATTAAAAATTAGTTAACTATCAATAAGGATGATTGGATTTTATTATTGGTTAACCAAAAAATGTTGACTATGCAAAACAATTTGAAACGGAGGGAGTACTTATTTACACAGATATGCCTAAAAATTGAGCATAAGTTACTATGATTTCATTATTATTATTCTAGTCACTAGTCATATTTTTGTAAATAATCTTTATTTTAGTCATAAATATATTTTCTAATTGTTTTATTGAAAAATATGTGTTTGAAACTATTAAAAACTAAATTGTCATAGATCTCGTTGAAAAGATGAAAACTCAATGCGAGCAATTATGATATATTTTATTAAAACATATGTTATCCTAATACGTAGTTTCCTATTTACATCATAGTTTCCTATTTGGTTATTTCAAAATAAGTGTCATAAAAATATGTGATCTACAACATTTCACTGTATTATATTCAAATCTCGAACAGTTACAATTTTTATTATTACAACCATTTTACTAATAATCGTTTCAAACCAAAAGAAAACGCATAGAATCAGATGAAGGAAGTATTATATTTTTAAGATGCCTTTTTTAATTTTTCCGCCCCCAATTAAATTTAATCCTGGATCCGCCACTGACCCACATCTAAACTCATTAGGAGTGATTTAGTAAGTTTAAATCTTATTAGTCACATTTTTTAAAATTTTAAAAAATGATCTCTTTTTGTTTAAAAGATTCATAAAGTTCAGTCCATCCAAACATATAAAGTTTAATATACGTAATCTTAGTCATGACAACGTACATTAAAAAGTAGTATAGCACAGGTTCGCGTTCTTTAATTTAAAACAATTTAACTTCTACGTCATATTCCTATTCTATTTGAAAAAAAAATCATAAATATTACTCCTCCATCTGTTAAAAATTTGCCAAATTTAAAAATTGGGTGATTGAAGTTTGACGAGTAATGCTCCTATTAGACGACTTGAGAGGTAGAGATCAGAGGAGAGGCAGAGAGGAGAGCTAGGGAGAGAAAGACTCAAACAAATTTGGATTAGAAGAATCAAAACTGATAAGAGTATATATGACTTTGTAGAGAGCAAAATGGAGGTCACACATTCGTGTGGACGAGTGATCTCTTTTCTATTTTTCCTCTCTTGTTTTCTTTTACCGTTTATATTCATCATCTTTTTATGTTATTTTTATGTTTTATCATTTTTATGCTCTTTTATCTGTTTATCTCTTATCTTAGCTTTCTCATATTGTTATGGTTTTGTTATCTTATATTTTTCTTTATCTTATCCATTTTATCTTATTTTCTTTCCCTGATCTCTCTTCTCATTTTTTTCGTACTGATATCATGGATCGATTTATGTTAGTCGACCCCAAATTTTTTTGGGATAAAGACTTGGATGTTGTTGTTGTTGTGGGGTTGAGTTTTGTGCAGAGGAAAAAGAATTAACTAAAATCATAATTTTTTTACTTAAAAGGGATAATAACAAAGTTATTGGGACATCCAAAAAACAAAAATATTAAGAGACGGAGGAGGTACTCTTTAAAATGTGATTGACAAAAATATTACTTGTACTTAGTAACTATTAACGGCTATAATTGTCTTTGAGATTTAGGATGTTTTTACTTAGACTGTAATTTGCTGGTCTGGTCTGGTCTGATCTGGTCTGGTCTGAACTGGTCTGGTCTGGTCTGGTAAGGTCTGGTTTCTTTGTATTTTTATAACTATCCAAGTCTGGTCTGGTCTGGTCTGAACTGGTCTGGTCTGGTCTGAACTGGTCTGGTCTGTACTGGTTTGGTCTGGTCTGGTCTGGGGCAAATTACAGTCCAAGTAAAAACATCCTTATATCATAATCACTAAATTTTAAGCTACTATGATGTAAATTTTGAACAAAATAGTAATCACTAATAGTCACAAAGTCACATGTTTGTCTATAACATTTTTATTAGTTTATTTAAGAAAAAACACATTTAATTTTGAATACATTTGTTATCTGCGAACAAATTATATTATGCGAAATATTATAATACGGAGTATTTGTTTGTTTTTGGATACAACTGTTGACAACTTTTTACAATTTTAATTAACAGAGCATTACGCAATATATTAATTGCCAGTCATATGATAGCAAACGTATGTCAAAACAATATTCCAACAATTAATTAACAACAGAACAAGTATCAAGTACATAACATGATAAGAACATATCATCGATACTAATCATATTATAACAAGACAACCATCCAATTCAATAAAAGGATCAATAAAATTAATCCCTTGTTGAAGATAGCAGCTGGCACCGTATCATTATTACCGTTATTGTTTCTTACGGAACAATTATAGGACATGCATATTTGTCGATAATTTGAACGGCTTTTCGCTCAAAGTACCAGTCGCCAAATAGTTTAGAGATTTTCTGTACAGAATAAAAAGAAAGTCACAAAATAAAGTAATACGACGTACAATAATGGAAATTGAAGTAAATATGAAAAAAAAATCAATAATTGGAACAATTTTCGTCAAACAATCTACGAAGTAAATATGAAAAAAAAATCAATAATTGGAAATATTTTCGTCAAACAATCTACGTAGTATGGTATCATAGATCCGTCACATTCTCAAATGTGCATTATCATCATGATTTATGCACTAACATGAAGTACTTATATACTCCCTAAGTCCGTATAAAACATGGCAAGTTCTACCGTATAGTGACATTTTTTTTAACTCGACGTGACTTTGTTGCAATGTAACTATTCCTTACTCTAAAATAAACGAGTAAAGCAAAAGAACTTTTTGGGTAGTAAAAAAGGAGAAATTCCATAAATAGGAATAAAAAAATTTGAAATTATAAACATTAGTAGTTTCAGCCAAGTTTAGCATTATCAGATTTTAAGTATGACAATTTTTGCCAAGTTTTTTTCCAACCTTGACAAAAAAACCTGAAAATTCTATTTTGAAATTTTAAAACGTCTTTACTTCCTTCAAGACAATTTCTAAAAGGAAAATTCTGAAGAAATTTGGATAGATGTATGTAGTACGTAATTACTTCAAACATTTAATTAGGTAATTATTTATATATATATATACACACACTTTAGTTGTATATACTCCGTATATATATAAAAAGTATGTACTCCGTATTACGTATTTGATGGTTTGAATTAATTTAAAGATTTGCACGTACCTCGTCACTCCCGTCTACAACCATATCGTTGTTCCATCTATAATTGGACAGTTGTTCGTGAGTTGTAGGGGAGGTAATCAAAATCCCTCTTGATGATGCATTGCTTAGTTTTGGCAACACGCTGAGAAATTCCAATCTTAGATCTGCGTGCAAAATCAAACACACTTGGTACAAGATTTCATAAAGTATTACCAAAGACTAATTATTGACAAAAAATATATATAGTATGTTAAGAACATTAAGGAAGCATGTGACATTTTGGCCAAGCTATATACGTAGTATGACTTAAAATATTACATCCCTTCTTATATTTGAAGTCCTTGAACTCCACGTTAAGATCTTCCTCGAAAAAATCCTTTTTTCCATCATTTGGTAAAGAAAGTCTTAAGTTTTAGTCTACTTCCCCATGTAATTATAAGCTAATTTCCAATTCAACTCTATGTAGCTCAAACTATGCTCCTTAAAAGATGTACGTAGTAGTGAATATTTGTTCTTATTCATTTTTTATTACTAATATAATCTAACATACTTTTAATTTCTTGAAAATATATATTTGAAATCTAATCGACGTCCTTATTTATAAAAACTTTTTTATAATTGTGTTAATAAAAAAGTACTACGTATTTGTCAACAGATTGACAAACCTTGCAATGTTTTAATAATGTCAGTTGAGCAATTCAGGGAAGTAGTGAGACACTTCTTTATTGTATCATTCCCTGAAAATTAATGAATATATATCAAGCATTAAAAACAGCACAACCAATATACGAAGCACATATGAATTGAAGAATCAGACACACACAAACAAATTGTGACCTGAACCGTATCAAATGCGGACATCAGGAAGAAGATGGGCGTTTTGATGTGTTCTTGTACATTTTGAGGGAAGAAACACTGTAAAAGTCACAAGGACTTTAATTAACAAACGAGAATGACTTTATTTGATGCATTAATCATGTTTAGCTAGTTTAAAAGATAATGCATCAAATATAGTAATTATTTGAAAATGTACTGAGAAGCAATATAATTTGAAGAATGAGCAGGAGGTTTTTTTCTTCATTATTTTAAAAAAAAGGATTGAAGCTATATTACCAGATATGGACTCATTCTGGATGTGCATTCTTCGGGCAAGGCTTTAATTGACCCCTGCTTCGAGTATAGATACAAATTAAACAATTACAGCTCTTCTCTAGAAATAAATATTCAAACGACTACAGCTTTACTAGTATATGAATATATATATGTATAGTTCAATACACACGAAGGTAGTAATAAATGCATTTGCACTGAAAAAGCAATCTGAAAAGTAGACAACTAATTTAAAGTGAGCTTGTAATTAGTAAAGATAGTACGCATTACATGTGCCATTAGTCCTTGAAAAGTTTGAGTGAATATTTCTCCATGCCCATACTTTTTCCTGCAAAAAATTATGAATGATGAGCCTATGTTTGTCACATTTATTCCGTTCTATACAATTCATTAATTACATTTTTCAAATTAAGAAAAAATTAAAGAAGATATATAAGCGTATACGTAGTATATAGATCATATTTATTTATTTGATACTTACGAAGGAAAAAAGTATCCAGCATCAGACAAACATTTTACTCTGGTAGCGTGCGGTAAAAGATCATGAAATCCATCACAATGTAGCGTCACCGCCACTCCTCCCGCTGAACCGCCTACTAAGAGAGCCTAAATAGTAGAGAGTGCATATTAGTAACATTCGTGCATGGTATAATCACAAATAATATGTCACTATCTAATTTTATATTTATGGACCTAACTACTCCCATGCTAGCTCATTAATTAAAGTTCCACTTTGACTTTTACAACAAACTACATGAACTTTGACCATGGAATTGAATATTAGAGTAGACTAATATGCATGTGCACAGTGGGGGTCTGGGGGACAATAGTATATTTGCAAATTGCAATAAATTGTCATATGCTTACATTTTTCGCCGTTGTCATTCCCAACTTGTAAAGCAACTCATGCATTACTGTTTTGTATATGCGTGCGCCTCTGAAATAGATCTTGGTGCCCTGCATTAAAAAATTACCGTCTTATTTGCCATGTTCACTTAATTAATTATACACGATCAAGCAATATAATTAAGAATCAGACATGACAATTTAAGTATAACCCAAAGCTAAAATAATAATAAACATAATAATAATAATAATAATAAAGATGATGATGATGATGATGATGGTATAATAACAACATTACTCCGTATTAGATATCACGTATTAAGTAATACAGCGTACTACATACTACGTATGTACTATACATTGTACTCGTAGACTTTTTGTGAGTCTGACGTGAAAGATGAACCATCACAATACCAAATCACAGCTCTGTTCCAGTTGAAGAAATCTATTCATGAAAATTTTTACAACATAAATTGTTAATTAGTCACGCAATTAAATATATAACATGTATGAATTCAAATTAAATTAATTAATTAAGTAACATACTTTTCTCTTCTTATTTAGCTGCAATAACCTCTCATTCATATTTACCAGTAAACACACTAAAAAATAATATAATTACTTACCTATGAGTACGTGAAAATTAAAAAAAATACACACGACTAGATCAATTTAATTGACAGTATTTTTCATAATGTAATTTGTTACCTAGGTACGTAGTAATAAATAATAAAGTGTGGACAAATAGCTTGGGGTAATCAGAATAAAATCAAAGTTACATTATTGAAGCTAAAAAAATGGGTGTAGCACAATAAATCGTCACGCATAATTTTAGTAGATAATATATTAATTACCTGGATTCTCCTCTTTTTTTTTTTGCTCAGGATGTCTTTAAAGGAGTACGGCTTGGGATCTAGGGTAAGATTTCTAGTGTGAGCATATGCAGTTGCACAATATTCCGGCAAGTTGCACCATGCTCCTCCCTGAACACAGCCGGCCAAGTAAATTAATTATACTAAATCTGTAAATCATACTCCGTAATTTACAAACCTGTGGTTATAATTTTTTTTATTCATCATGTACTTCACAAATCACAATTACTTCTAATTACTTGGACAGTTGGTCATGTATATACTACAAAAAGAAAAACTTCGTTTTAAGCTTGAATTTTGACTTGGACGAAGTCCTTCAATTCACACATATGGAGTGGATTTTGGCACGGTAACATATCCCGGACTAGACAAGCTAAATGTACTCACAAAATTTATCTTATTCTGAGGTTATCTAGGATTATACACCGTATTATTTATATATATTTACCTCAAGATACACAAGCCAATTGCGCACTCCATCACCAAATCCATGGTCGAAGTAATATGCATGCTGCTGGTTTTCCCGTCAAGCAGACTTGTACGTAAGTTGTAACAACGTAACAAATTATCATTTCTCAAAATTAAAGTTGTGTTATCTTTGAATTGGTCTAGTATGCACTTATGTGAATTAAGGAAAAAACCGCTATTGAAAAAAAAACTACTATTAGTACATAGATAGATAGATAAACTTATTAAATTATTTTAATTACCCGCTTCAGGATCACTCCGTACCAAAGTCGCATTCACAAGGAACTCATCATCAGTGCCTAAAAAATGAAATTCATCACTGTTCACTGTTAAAAACCATATATATTAGTGACCCAAAAGTAAGAAATTATCAGAAACAGATAAAGGTAAAGCATAACGTAACCCATATATATTTCGACAATGTAAATATATATACAGAGTAGCTAGTAGCTAGTTACCATCACATTTGATGAGGAAAAAGGACACAAATAACAGCGACTGTAATATCCCAAAGAACGACATTTTCAACTTCAGTTTTCAAAATATTGAACACTAGCTAGAGATCAGATTAGTTTGAAATCAGGGAATGAGATATTTGAGGGCTCTGAAAGGGTGATGGAGAGGTTTGAGCTAAGAGTGTACTATATATATAGACACATGAGCATACAAGAGTGTGGTGTCAATTGACACCACTCAAATTTTAATTATATATATAAAGGTATATTCTTTTAAAAAATTAATTTGACACCACCTATATAAATGGAATGATTATCAATTGACACCACTCAAATATTTTTTGTAGTTATATATAAAGGTATATTTTCTAATATTCAATTTGATAACACCTATATTAACAAAATGAGGGTCAAAATATAAATATATATGAAATAATTACATATTTATAACTAAAATAATAGTTATTTACAAAACGTGATGTCTTAAGTGTAGTGGATACATTAGAAACTTTGTTATAGTAACTTATTCAAATTTTTACACTTAGGAGAACATGACACCGTACTATAGTAACATTTAATGATATTTTGTAAATAATTTTATTTCAAAAATACTTTAAAAAAAGTCTAAATATATTTATTTAACTAAAACAAAATTACATGTAATGAAATTTAGCCATGGTTAATATCTTTTACACTTTTCAATAAGTGATGCACTATAATATATATTCAAGACAAATATAACGAAGCTTGAATTCAAAACTTGACAAAAGAACTTGACAAATTATTATGTTGACTCTAAATTTATATAAGATAATGTGTAACATAAAATCTAGATAGTCATTCTTTCACACATGTAATATTTGATAAATTTATTATCATATTGTTACTTTGTAATTTAGCTATATTAAAAATTCTTATCAATATATAAAGTGCTTGAAAGTACCAACGATGAGAAAAATGTACAATATTTTAAAGGGAACATAATGTTAGATAATACCAAACTATCACAATTTAAGAATAGTGAAACAAATCACATTAATAAATAATTAATTCATTCCCAACTATTCAAATATATATATATATATATATATATATATATATATATATATATACACACACACACACACAAAGTCAAATACATATATGAGATCAAATACAAACCTCATAATTTACAAACTATAAACTAATCTTGACGATCTGATTAGTTTATCTAAAGGTTGTATATTCACGGTGGTTTTTTGGTATTAAAACCAAAATTTTGGGTCAAGTAATTGAAAAAAATGTATACTCATCAGTACAGTTTTTAATATCGTGTCATAGAAGTAGAATTTAGCTTAAAAATTTGACACCACTCAAATGTATCGTTGGCTCCGCCACTGCACATGACTACATGACACATCATATCACACATGCGAAATTAATGTACTATAGTTCTTTTCTAATGCGAAATGATGTACTCCCTCTGTATTTGAAAGAACCATACATTAGGTTATGACACAAGATTTAATGAAGAATAGTATGAGTAATGAATACTCCCTCCGTCCCATTTATATTGTCCCGTTTTACCTTTTCGGGAAGTCCCACTTAAATTGTCCCATACCATATTTCGCAAAGTTTGTGTGGCTCTAAATGTGACCCCCGTATCAAGAGTTGGAAAAGTGATACATAGGGGTTGTTGATTAAGATTCGGAGCTGTGAGCTCCCTCAACGTTCTTGTTTCATTAGCCATAGATATTGGCTCTTCGTTCTCGCTAGATTGAGAACTAGCACTTGATGATTCTCCCGAGTCGGAGTTTGAGAATTTGTTTTTCAACCGCTCGAGAGTTTGTTCTATTTCAGGGTTTGATTGGTAGGTGATTTCGTTCAGTGAACGATATTTTACCATATACTACAAAGCTCAGAAGAAATAGAAATCTTTATACTTAAATACTATATTTTTTTTCTTTTTCTTTAAAATAAAACAAAAAGAAAAATTAATTGCCTTTCCCCAGCTACGGCGCCAAATTTGACGCGCACTTTGTCGTAGTGCATCAAAATAAATTCAATACTAGCACTTATACGTAGTATAGTGAAGTAGAGTTCGTATCCATAGGAAAAGGAATAATTCTCTTTTTATGAAACTAGTAAATAAAAGGGGGGGTTTGGGATTGTTTGATTTAATTTAATTGAACACTAAAATGAACAAACTATATGATTTTAATTAATGAGATAAAAAAAACTTGATTTTGCTACTTTCCACTTGTTGATATATTTAGTCGATCCTTGTTATATCTATAACTTATCCCCTCTCGAATACTCAATCGAGGAGTATCAATTATCTCCAATTCATCGAGGGTAGTTATTAACAACGACCGTTCATTAATAACTCTTACTATTATTCAAGTATAGAACACCACCATATACCGACTTGATAGTAGCATTTAATCTCTTAACTCCTTGATAAAATCAATTGAGATTGATAACCTCAGCACAACGGTTTCGGGTTAACCAACAAAATTAATCCCTCTTAAGTTTATTAACCACGACCGCGCATTAATAAATCGAAGTTACTTACTTGTGAAACCATCAACAATTAACCATCGGTTCGTTGATTGTTTCTAGTAGTAATTAATGTCGAGATGTTAACTAATTGTCACCTTAGCAACACTCCCCAACATTAATATAAAGATAGATTAAGAGAAGAATTAATATTCAAGGGAAGAAGTTAAGAAAATAACTCACAACTTTAATAATCAACAAGCTTCAAGAGCAACACCAAAAAATGGAAGTTTAGCTCCTCATTTGAAGACTAAACATGATATAAAAATATAAAAGAAATACTATTCTAAATTGAGCTTAAGAGTATGGAAGAAGGAGTGATATTATTGTGAATGAAAAGGGGTGTATTTATAGGTGTTTGGAGGTGGCACAGTGGTGTACCCGACCGGGTATATAGGGTACCTGATCAGGTATTTTAGGCAGTTTCCCGGAAAATGACTTTTTGGGACATACTCGGTCGGGTATGTTGGCATACTCGGTCGGGTATGAGCCAAAAAGTCAAAATACTGCACGTTCTTTTGTCTCTCTAGATTCTGATTTTGACACCCGAATCAATTCAATACCTGATCGGGTATTGCCTATACCTGACCGGGTATATGAAATATTTTTTCAATCTTCTTTTTATCTTGTCCCCTTGCATTTTCCTTGATCTTTTGGGGTCCAAACTTGATCCTTTGGATGATCTTGACCTGTTTTAAGCTCAGAATAATCCTAATCTAAACAAATTACATTTATCTAAGAAAATTAACTAATTACACCAAAAGTGTGTAATTTTCCAAACAACAACAAATAAAACTAGTTAAAATAGAAATAATACATAATAAAAATACAACTCTATCATTAACCCATGCAAATAGCGTCGTTTGATAGTAAAGTGATAGACTGATAGCTACTCATATTTACATTTAAATTTATATATACATTATACTTATATTTATATTTTATTTAGGAGTAATTTGAGTTTGCACCTCATTGTATTGTTCAATTTGGACTTTGCACCCCGTTTGTAAAAAGTTTTGTTTTTGTACCCTAATCCCGTATGGAAAGACAAAAATACCCCCTCATTAAGAACTTTGATGGCCTTCTACATATTCCGGGATCATTTTTGTTTTTTCAAACGAGATTGGGATGCATAAACACAATTTTTTTAAAAAGGGGTGCAAAGTCCAAGTTAGACAATAATATGGGGTGAAAACTCAAATTACCCCTTTTATTTATAAGTCCAATGTCTTGAAATACTTTATAAATTGCACTAGTAAAGATATTAGCGAATTCTCATTAGAGCCTTTTACAGGTTTCGTAGGTTTGTCAGACTTGGCTTTTGACATTGTCTCCATGTATCAATAGTGTTGAAGTAGATTACTTCAATATCATAATCTCCATATCGCATCCCAGTTTATCATTCTCGACATCCACCCAGTGGCGGAGCCAGACATTTATGGTTAAAGGGGTCGGTCCTTAAAAATTTTATATTGCAGGGGCAAAAATTTAAAATATCAATATACTTTCTACAGATTAAAAGTATTTATACATAATATATACTTAAGATTTTTTTTTCTTGCAGGGGTCATGGCCACCTTCAGCCCCTCCCTGTCTCCACCCTTGGATCCACCCAATACCAAAAACATTCTTCTCCCGGGTTTCTAATCTCAGGGCAACAATTGGGAAAAGGAAGCGTCGCGGGTGGAACACGTCCATTATTTCCATCATTTTGAATATACTGAAGCAAGAGTTTCTAACACTTGTCATTTGGCTCCGGTTTTGAGCATTAATTTAAGAGTAAGATCACATAACGTGAGCCATGCTTTTTTTCCCAATAAAAGTAGTCCTCATAATCAAAGCTTGGCATTTTCATTTTCGTCGTCCTAGCAGCTAAAAAACACTCTTATGTTAATGAATACGTACTCAAAAGAGGGCAGACAAACTCATACTTTTATTGGAATAACAAAGGGCTTTATATAGCCATTTTACATTGAATAATAGCCACATAAACAAAGCGACTAACTCCTAGAAAATAGCCATGATCAAACGTGCACTTACTCAACTAAAGATGCTCCTAAATAGTAGCTAACAACTTAAGACTCTTTCAACTAGATAATACTCAAACATAATAATAAAAATAATTAAGTAACAAATAACTTATTAAGCCAAATCCTACGTGTGCATGTCTCGAAATAGCCCTCATGCAGCCTTCTTGCTTCAAGCTTGATCATTTTCAACACAAACCCTTGATCCAAGCTTGTATAGCCCAATTCTTCTCATGAAGTGGTTATGTTTAGTATGGTTTAGAGCCTTCGTAAAGAGATCTGCATTCTGCCAATCTGTTCGACATAATTGAAGAGAAATTCTTCCTTGAGACACCAGCTGCCTTATGAAGTGATATTGGACATCTATATGCTTTGTTCTTGAGTGATAAGCTGGATTCTTTGCCATAGCAATTGCTGATTTGTTGTCATACCAAAGATAAATTTGCTCAGGTTGATTGCACCCCAAATCTTTCAGTATCTTCCTAATCCACAATGCTTGTTTGGCTCCAGCTCTTGCAGCCACATATTCCGCTTCAGAGGATGATAATGCAACTGTATCCTGCTTCTTTGCACTCCAAGTTATTGCTCCAGAACCCAGATCAAACACTGAGCCAGACATTCTTTTCCTATCATCAATACACCCAGCCCAATCACTATCAGTGTAGCCCCTCAGTTTGAAATCCTTCACACTTGTATACCACAGCCCATAGTCCAATGTTCCAGCCACATATTTGAAGATTCTTCTTGTTGCACCAAGATGTTGCTTTGTTGGACTCTGCATGTATCTTGATACAATGCTTACACAGTAAGCTAAGTCAGGCCTAGAGTGAGTTAGATAGTTTAACCCACCTACCATACTTCTAGAGTTTTGCATCAATTTCCTCTGTACCATCAAACTTTTGCAGCTTCTCATTGGTATTCATAGGAGTCTGTGCAGTGTCACAGGTCTCCATATGAAACCTTTTAAGTAGGTTTAGATCATACCTTTTTTTACTCAGACTTTGCTTAACTTCCAATCCCAAAAAATACTGAAGCTTCCCTAAGTCAGTCATCTCAAAGTGATGTGTCATGAGATAGATTATATCATCTACATAAAGGCATACAATGATAAAGTCCATACCTTCCTTCTTGACATACAAGGTGGGCTCATTGTCACTTCTCTGGAAGCCAGCTGAACAAAAGAAGGTATCAATTTTAGTGTACCAGGTCCTGGGAGCCTGTTTGAGCCCGTACAATGCCTTTTTCAATTTGTATACCTTTGTTTCTTCCCCCTTCTTCTCAAAGCCTGAAGGTTGATAGACAAACACCTCTTCACTAAGATCTCCATTAAGGAAAGCTGACTTTACATTTAACTGATATATAGTCAGTTTCCATTGAGCTGCCAAGGCAAGGATAATCCTTATAGTTTCAAATCTGGCTACAGGGGAGAAGGTCTCCTCATAGTATACTCCTTCTTGTTGTGCATAGCCCTTTACTACTAAACGAGCTTTATGCTTAGCTATGCTGCCATCTGAGTTATACTTTGTCCTGTATACCCATTTCAGCCCTATAACATTCTTATCTTGGGGCAAATCCACCAATTCCCAAGTTCTATTCTTCTCAATAGAATTGAGCTCTTCCTCCATTGCTTGTGTCCATTCAGTGTAAGCTGAGGCTTCATCATAGTCTGCAGGTTATGTAACAACTGAAGCAAGACTACAAGACTCATAAATATCAACAAGAGATCTTACTTTTCTAGGTCTCTCATTGGATGAACTATCTGAATCATCATTGTTATCTTCATTGTGAGACTGATTGCTAGGACTTGCTGAAGAGGTCTGAGGGTGATCAAGATCAGTGGAGTCTTCCAAACCAACAAGCTTTTGCATTTCTTTCTCTTTGTGAGTAGTAGCCTGCCAATCCCATGTTGCATCTTCATCAAAAATAACATTCCTACTGATAATGATTTTGTCAGTAAGAGGATTATACAACCTATAGGCCTAAGACTGAGTAGAATAGCCTATAAAGATGCATTTTTCTACTTTATCTAGCTTGCCTCTCAGATTCACAAGTGTAAATGCAATACACCCAAAGATTTTCATATGACCTACTGAAGGTCTCTTCATTCTCCATACCTCAAATGGAGTAGAATTTGGTACTGCTCTGGTTGGTGAAATGTTAAGAATGTACACTACAGTGGACACAGCTTCTCCCCAAAACTTGTTTGGTAGACCCTTGGCTTTTAGCATGCTTCTAGCCATTTCAACTACTGTCCTGTTCTTCCTCTCAGCCACTCCATTTTGCTCTGGAGTGTAGGGTGCTGTGAACTCTCTTCTTATTCCTTGTTCATCACAGAATTGTACAAAGGCATTGGAACTGAACTCTCTTCCTCTATCAGTTCTTAGTGCCTAGACAAACTTACCACTTTGCTTCTGAACTAAAGCTTTAAATCTTTTGAAATTTTCAAGAGCTTCTGATTTTTGTTTTTGAAAATAAATCCAAGACATCCTGCTAAAGTCATCAGTGATCATGAGGAAATACCTGCTACCACCCAATGATTCTGTGTCCATTGGGCCACACAAATCAGCATGAAGAAGTTCCAGACAGTCATTTTCCCTCCAAGAGCCTCCAATGGGAAATGATCTTCTGGTTTGCTTGCCATAGATGCATCCTTCACACAAATCTAGTTCTCCAATGTTAGGTAGACCTCTTACAAAACCCCTACAACTGAGCAGTCTCAGACTATTGATGTTAAGATGTCCATATCTTAAATGCGACAATTTGGCATTGTCTTCACCCTTCACCACAAGTGATCTGCCACAGTGATTAGATAGGTCCAAAGGAAAGAGCTTATTCCTCCCCATCCTAGCTTTCTGTAAAATATCACTGGTATGGACATCCTTAATTGTACATAGTCCTTCCTCAAAGATCACTGAGTATCCTCAAGTCACTAATTGGCCTACACTTAACAAATTATGAGCCAATTGAGGTACATACTGCACATTTGAGATAGACTTCATCTTGCCTTGATCAGTGTGTACTGAAATAGTGCCTAGCCCTTCTACGGCTAGTTGTTTGCCGACGTGCACTTTGTCGTGTGTGCACTCAAAATAATATTCAATACTAACACTTATACGTAATATAGCGTAGTAGAGTTCATATCCACAGGGAAATGAATAATTCTCTTTTTATAAAACTAGTAAATAAAGGGGGGGGGGGGGGGGGGGTAGAGTGATTTAATTAAATTAAACACGAAGATGAACAAGGTATATATATGTGATTTAATTCAAGAATAAAAGGGACTTGGCATTGTTACTTTCCACTTGTTGATATATTTTAGTCGATCATTGTTATATCTATAACTTATCTCCTCTCGAATACTCAATCAAGGAGTATATCCAATTCATCGAGGATAGTTATTAACAACGACCGTTCATTAATAACCCTTACTATTAGTCAAGTATAGAACAACGCCATATACCGACTTGATAGTAGCATTTAATCTCTTAACTCCTTGATGAAATCAATTGAGATTGATAACCTCAACACAACGGTTTCGGTTTAACCAACAAAATTAATCCCTCTTAAGTTTATTAACCACGACCGTGCATTAATAAACCAAAGTTACTTACTTGTGAAACCATCAACGATTAACCATCGGTTCGTTGATCGTTTCTAGTAATAATTAATATGTGAAACAAAACTAGTTGATCCTTTAAGTAATGTTCAAAATATTAATGTGAAATATGAATAGGAATTAATTAATACTCAAGGAAGAATATTAAAGAAAATGAATCCTACTATAGTTAATATCAAGATGTTAACTAATTGTCATCTTAGTAACACTCCCCAATATTAACATAGAGGAAGGAATAGCTATTACTAAGACCAATGTCAAGATGTTAACTAATTGTCATCTTAGTAACACTCCCCAACATTGATATAGAAATAGTATTTAAAGGAAGAATTAATATTCAAGGAAAGAAGTTAAGAAAATAACTCACAACTTTAATAATCAACAAGCTTCAAGAGCAATACCAAGAAATGGAAGTTTAGCTCCTCATTTGGAGACTAAACATGCTATAAAAATATAAGAAATAACTATTCTAAACTGAGCTTAGGTATTGACATGCCAAAATGTGTAGTGTGAAATGGTGTAAAAATGTGAATGGAAATGATGTTTTAATTGGCTTGTAACGATATAGTATAGAGTAAGTGAGTATCGTTCCGCTAGAGAATGGCTCAAAAAGAGAACTAGAATTAATGATTGATTTTTAGCTAATCACAAATTGATAACATTTTGCAATGGAGCTAAGTGAACATATTTTTTTATCTTGTTTTTATAAATGTGAAATTGCTAGGAAATAAAATAAATCACAATACTTGATAATTTAACAATTAATGATATAGAGAAAATTAGGCTTGGGCTAAGAGTAAATTTATTATGATGTTCATAAATAATAAAGATTTAACTAATTAACTTAATTACTTTTAGGTGTGTGAAAGATTTACAAATGGTAATCTTCTAATCGTTCCCACGACTTAGTTGATTACACTATCTTAATTTAATTCCGCTCCCGCGGTAATTTTATTAAGACAGTAAAAAGTACGAAATCAATTTATCCTAAATTCCTTAACACTTCCATGTAGTAATTTAGTGGGTGAATTAAATAAATGGATTTTAATGAAATTTCACTCCCGTGATAATATTCATTTCCAATATTAATTTATTTAGCAGATTATAGTATTCAACCCAACACTCCTAAAATTAACCAGTTAATAGTTTTAACCAATTATTATCTTATGAACATTAATAGTAAAAATAACATCTTGCCCAAACCTAAACTAATTTAGTTACACATAATTATAGTGAACAATATAAAAGTAAAAATTCATGCTAGACATATTTAACTTAACAGATTAAAGAAATTAAAGTGAGTGTTTAAATAAGAACCTGAAGGCATAAATAATGAAGAACATAGATGAACTGGAACAGAAAAGCTGAAGTCCTTGTATTAATCTGGAACTGATCGAACGAACTGATAATTGCAAATGAACTTTAATACCAAATATCACAAGCTAATATTTTGGAACTGAGAATTACAAACTGAAATCTATACAGAAAGTGTTCTTGGCAGAATCACTTTTATTTTATTGCTACTACTATGAACAAAGCTAAAGAAAGAAGAGGATGATTCCTCTCTGAATTGGTGTGTTTTCGCAGCTCCCAAATGGCTCTTTATATAGGCAACTTCAGAATAGCTTGGAGCACAAAAGTCATATGATGAAGATGGTGATGGAATTGAGTTCCTATTGAAGAATAGTGCTCTGGACTCATTTTTCTTCTTCTGCGGCGCCTGTCATGAACTTTGATTGAGCTTCTTTTGGTTTGTTGCTGAATGGTGAAGATGATACGTGTGTAGAGCTTCAATTGTGTGGAAGAAACTAAAGTCATCACTATTGAATGGGTCCCTCTCATAATGCAATGTATTTATTTCTTTTCATTCTTGGGAGCTTCCTACGTATGGAGTTTCACTCATAATAAGGAGTGAATAGTACCTGTCAGCCAAAGTTTTGGCTTGTATCCGCCACTTGCATTATTTGACCGGTTAATTGTTTGATCAGTTAACTGGTCAGCAATTAACCGGTACGTTTTATTGCGGACAGTCTGACTTATTCTAAAATGTATTTCGGGACTCTTGATAAAATATTCCGGAGTTAAAGTAAGAACCCACTTCACTTTGATGATTTTTCCGTCTTCATTCGGGAGTAATATTTATTTCTTTTCAGAAATTAATATTCGTCCCGAATTATCCTGAAACTCAAAAATATACCAAAACAAGTGCAATACCTTAAAATGTCCAAAATGATAAAGAGCATTCCTTTTTATTTAAAAATGAGAAATAAAGTATTAAAAGTGTGACAAAACAAGATCATAAATATGGTAAATTAGGAGTACATCAGGTATATGGAAGAAGGGATGATTAAAAGTGAAGGAAAATGGGGCTATTTATAGGTGTTTTCAACACCCTGGGGCATTTACCCGACCGGGTAAATGGGCATACCCGACCGTGTAAATGTCAAAATCAGATATTTGCCCACGATTTCTTGTTTTAAGCACGTCGGATTGTCCCCGGTCAAGTCTCACCCGACCGGGTGAGGTAGTGGGCCCGACCGGGCCTAGCTATTTCCTTGCTAGTTCGGTTTTCACTTCCTACCCGACCGGGTGAGGGTTGATATCTGGTCGGGTTTTTGCTCCTGGGCAGTCAAATCTCCTTTTTCCTCACTTCAAAGTCTCCCTTTCCAACACCATTATTCCTAATTCTACTTTCCAACTTACAAATGAAGATTAAAATACAATTACAACTAAAATCACATAAATGTTTACAAACTAAATAAAACGATAAACAATACACACAAATCAAACATAAAAACATACACTTATGCATTACTAATGTAACACCCCGGCCCCGTGGGACCCGAGGTAGTTACTCCAGACCTCTAGTACTGTCCTCACAAACCACCACGAGCCTTTACCGCGCACTTTGTCCTCACTCATGCGCGCCCTGAGAAACTTCCCAGGTGGTCACCCATCCCGAGACTACTCCCGAGCAAGCACGCTTAACTTTGGAGTTCTTAGGTAATGAGCTCCCTTAAAAGGAGATGCACCTCTGTTGGTATGAGTAGTACTATTAATCCGTTTATATTAAATCTCAAGTGTTACAATCACCCCCACTTAGGATCGCAACGTCCTCGTTGCGCCCTTAAACCAATCTCAATCAAATCCCAGAAACTTTTCCCCTGCTAGGTGTCTGCCCGATATCCAACGGATCAACACACTGTCGCAGGGTTGCTCTGATACCACCTGTAACACCCCGGCCCCGTGGGACCCGAGGTAGTTACTCCAGACCTCTAGTACTGTCCTCACAAACCACCACGAGCCTTTACCGCGCACTTTGTCCTCACTCATGCGCGCCCTGAGAAACTTCCCAGGTGGTCACCCATCCCGAGACTACTCCCGAGCAAGCACGCTTAACTTTGGAGTTCTTAGGTAATGAGCTCCCTAAAAGGAGATGCACCTCTGTTGGTATGAGTAGTACTATTAATCCGTTTATATTAAATCTCAAGTGTTACAACTAATTAGTAGTGCATATCATTTGCCATCACCAAGGCTAACAACTCCTTTTTTAGTGTCATCAATGTCTTCAAACATGCCTTTTGTCCCAGTCATATGGTTTGAGCAACCACTATCAACATACCATACCATAGCTCCAGTTTGATCATAATTGTGTTGAGCAAGGAGTAATTGCTCTTGTTCAACATAATTAGACCTTTGCTCAGTCTCACTGGAAGCTGGTTTTCCATGCTTCTTCCAGCATTCAGCCTCTTTATGACCAAATTTATTACAATAGTAACACTTAATAGATGGTTTGTAAGTGTTCTTTGTATAGTCAAACCTTTCATGATTTGATTGATGTCTTCCTCTACCTCTGCCTCTGTAACCACCCCTAAAGCCTCCTCTTCCTCTTCCTTGTCCACCAAATGGATTATCTCGTGGGGCTTCTCCTTTGGCTTGGAATGCTTTTTCTTCACTGGACTCTTCCATGCTAGTCTGCCTTTCATCAAAGGCTCGAAGACAGCCTTTCAGTTCTTCAAAGGTATAGGTCTCCATATCCTTAGCTTCTTCAATAGCTGTTACTAATTGGCTATACTTTGAGGTGAGACTTCTCATAACTTTACTCACAGTCTGTTTAGAGGTTACTTCTTCACCATAGGTTTTCATCTGCTGAACAATTGATGTAAGTCTGGAAATGTAGTCTTGAACTAATACTCCTTGTCCTTCATCTTGATTGCTTCAAACTCCCTCCTAAGAGATTGTAATCTGATCATGATTACTCTCTTATCTCTAAGGTATTCTTGTTTTAGAATGTCCCACGCTTGTTTAGAAGTTGAAGCTGCTGCAATCCTGGGAAAGATTTCATCATCCAAAGCTTGTTGAATGAGATAAAGGGCCTTTGCATCCTTTTTCCTTCTTTTTTTCTGAGTGCTTGATCTGCTTCTTCTTGTGTATTGTCAACAAAACCTTCTTCAACAATCGTCCATAGCTCTTGAGATTTGAAGAGTGTTTTCATCTTCAAACTCCAAAAGTGATAGTTAACCCCCTTGAACACGGGAGGCTGATTCAAGGAGTTTCCATTTCCATTGCTTTGCATTGTGATGTGTTTTACTGACCCTCTTTATCTTGTATGCTTTGTGATAATCACTCACTGATTACGCACACGAAACACACTCTCACCAGGACAAGAATCGCCTGATTGCTCTGATACCAAATGTTAGCTGTTCTAGCTAAAAAACACTCTTATGTTAATGAATACGTACTCAAAAAGAGGGCAGGCAAACTCATACTTTTATTGGAATAACAAAGGGCTTTATATAGCCATTTTACATTGAATAATAGCCACATAAACAAAGCAACTAACTCCTAGAAAATAGCCATGATCAAACATGCACTTACTCAACTAAAGATGCTCCTAAATAGTAGCTAACAACTTAAGAGTGGTTTTTTGCAAAATGAATTTAGTACTCATAGGGTTATCTCTTAAATGGCCGAGTATATGAGTCAGTTTATAGAATTAAAGTCATTAGTCATTGGCCACTATATAGAAGTCTCCGAAAATTCGCGTTAGCAAAATGAAAAGTCAGAAAGTTCATGAGTAATCTTTAGTTTTTTGCTTGTCAGGTAATGGTTTTTCATCAATATCTTGGGAGTACTAACCCGCCTCGAAGTTACCTAATAATTTTTAAATACTCTGAGTGGTCTCTTAGTAAATGTACAAGATATGATAATTTACTGAAATAGTAATGAGGTTAATCTCGATTACAACTTACCAAACTGAATTGTGTGCTAAAGTAATTTTTGAACATGCTGTATTGAAAGGGCATCAAGCAAGTGAATTATAGTACTCATAGGGTTATCTCTTAAATGGAGTATATGAGTCAGTTTATAGAATTAAAGTCATTAGTCATTGGCCACTATATAGAAGTCTCCGAAAATTCGCGTTAATTAGCAAAATGAAATGTCAGAAAGTTCATCTAGAACCATATCAAATTGCATTGACATGCACTGTGTATTTGATTTGGAAGGCTATGAATGAAACACTTTTTTCCAATAAGGTAGCCACAACAATAAATACTATAGAGCAAATTAAAGTACTTATTTATAAGATCATGTTTAGATTATATTCTACTAACGTGATTGAACACTGAGGTTAAAAAGTGAAAGGGAGGGCTGCTCTAACTCTGTTTTTGAGGAATTTGTTGTGATAGTTTATCAAATTTGATAGTTTATCAAATTTGAGAGGTTCATCCATTTATCAATTTTGTTGAATTTCTGTTTTGATAGTTGGGTAGTTTGCTTTATTGGTGTTGTACGGAATGGGGGAATGTTTTTGCAACTTTACTGTTTTGTTGTTTTTGTTGTGCACAATTTAGTGTGCAGTGTGTTTGATCGTAGGATGGGTTTTGGATGTATAGCTTTAAGCAATTCATTAGGATGCTAAAGCTTACGAGGGGATGCCGTTGTGTTGATTGTACACATGTTTTACGCAGCTGATTATATATACCTTTCATGTGCATGACCACTAACAACCAGAAGTGACGTTAATATGCTTCAGAGCATAAAGCACAACTCATGAATGTGGTGTGTTTTGATGCTCATGTCCCTACCATGTATCATGTATGAGGTGGTATTGAGATTGAAACCCAAGGTTTATTAAACTCTTATATAAGATTTGTGCTCATTTCTTACTCTCACTTTTGATGTACCAGGTGAAGCCTTTGTTCTTATTCTCATTTCTTACTTCCACTTTTGATTCACTGGGCTAAGCCTTTGTTAATATGATGCCTTCCTGTGGCTTGATTTGTTAGATGTTTTTGTTTGGACGAATGTCCACTAATCTTGTACATAACATTTCTTTTCGAAGTACTGTATATATATTTAAATGCTGCAAACAATTGTATTATGCACATTTTTGCAACAGTAGCCCATGTAAAAAATGTATGCCATTTTATACGGTTGATATACAATATTGGGCATTCTCACAATCGCGCAACGCACGTTACAAAAACTAGTGAGTTAATACAACTAGGTGATTACTACGAAAGTTTTTTATCGTGAAAGTATGAAGCGATAAATATAGATAATATGGTTAGCAACTTAGTAAGGTTGTGTTTGTATTTTTGGTTTGATTGGTCTCACTCTCAAATTAAGATGTTTTGTTTTGGACTGTTTTCAGTTCCAGACCAGATCATACCAGACTCCCATAGTTATAAAATACACAGAGACCAGATGTTTACCAGATCAGACCAGACCAGACCAGATCAGTCCAGACCAGTCCAGCAAATTTCAGTCCAAAAGAAAACATCCTTAGACCGGACCAGACAATACACAAACATCAGATCATATCAAACTTCGATAGTTATAAAATACACATAAAACATATTTCTACTCCGTATTAGATCACACCATATCAATACAGATAAGACCAGACCAGTCAACATATAAGCAGACAACACTAGACCATATTAAGCAAGAAAACATCCTTCATAAGTAGTACGTAGTACTATATACATTACCCTCGTTATTACTCGGTGTTTATTGATATTGTTGTAATTATGCCCTAGCAAGAGTTGGCCATTTGTAAAACACTATACCTTAGAGTTTTACAAATAAAAGTCATTCTTCCCGTGAAAATTGTGAACAAATGCACTTTTTCACCAATCACATACACTAATAAATTTCAATGCTGCACTTTTTCATCAATGAGATGCAGTGATGCACTGATAAATTTCAATGTTTCACTTTTTCATCAATCAGATGCACTAATAAAATTCAATGTTGCACTTTTCGTGTTTACTATTTTTTTAAAATTAATATAGC